CTCCCCCATCCCATGTGGGGACTCTGCCAAATGGGGCTGTGAGTCCTGGCTCCCCCACCAGAAGGCTATGTGCCCTTGGTAAGTGCCTTCACCTCTTCCATGAAACAGTGGCCTAACCGCCTGACCACCGGTCCCAGGTGGGCCTTCCCTCTAGCCTGTTCTGACCGACTGGGCCTCGGAGCCTCCCTTGCCTGCTCTGGTCCAGCTCACCAGTCCTCGAGCTTTTCTCAGAATCCCCTGGGTCTATCCTGTGACCTGCAGAAAGTCCTAGTGCATCTGGGGCCACCACAGTCAGTGGCCAGGACTCTGAGGGGACCACAGATATCAGGCCTATTTTACAGATGAGGAAACTGAGACTCCAAACAGGCCCCCTAGGCCTGGAGCCGTCAGCTCCAGCTTCTCCAGGAACAGCAGAGTTCTGGGTAGGACAGAATCTTAGGAGCCCTGGACCCACGGGGGATCACTTAGGGCCCTTAAGACCAGCCCTCAGCCTCCTCCTCTAGGAAGTCCTCCTGGCTTTTTCTGGTCAGGGCCTTCCCTTCTCTGAATTCAGCTCTTGCCTGTGTCGGGCTTGGCAAGTGGGCTCTTTGAGGGCAGACTGGTGGTTTCTGGTTTTCCCAACTCTGCCCAGCTCACCACACACTTCCATACAGAGAAACTGAGAAGATCCAAAGTGGGGGCTGGAGGGACGAGAGTGGTGGAGGGACTGGGGGGCTGGCAGCTTCTGGGAGGGGAAATATTTTGGTTCTCAGAAGGCTCGAGAATTGCCTGATTCCCAACAGATTAGGGGTAATTAACCCTTCGAAAGGCAGTAATTAAGTCTGTGCCTCTGAAACCATAATTAGAGGCTCCAGGAGGCTCTGCCCCCTCCCCAAGAGACAGGCAGTCCCCAAAGCGGAAACCAGCCAGGACTGGGGGACAGGGGACGGAATCTGTTCCCCTCAGGGTGCTGAGTGAGCCCCACAGCTTCCGTCATGGCACCCAAGGCAGGGATCCGGGGAATGGCATTCGCGGAACCCCAGCTTTTCCATGCACCGTCATTTTGGGGGTTGTCCGGCAACACGGGTGGGGGGGGCACTTTGCTCTTGGAGGGCACGAAGGCAGGGGAACTGGGCTCAGCTGGGATCTGGGGCGTGGGACTGGTGACAACCCTTGAGAACTTTGGTCCTGGTTGAGAGGAGCTGAAACAGAGACCCCAGCCTCAAAAGGGGTTGAGGATGCCAGGGACACAGGGATGAGACAGTCTGGGGGCTCCGAGAGGACAGAGGATGCCCTCTAGTGGGGGTGCTCACCTCATCCAAGGGGGCACTGGCACCAGGAGGCAGGCTGGCTCTGTGGTTCCTGGGTCTCCCGTTCAAGCGGCCGGGGGGGTGAGGTGGGGGCTTTGCCAGAAGCGCCGACCCCCTACCCCTGTGCCCATGAATGCCTGGCATGGGGCAGCTGGCAGAAAAAAAAATCCTGAAACATACTGGGCCACGTTTTGCCCTTATCCCAACAATCTAGCCCCTGGTATCCCCCAAGGAGACGTTTGAAGGCAACTTTGGGTCCCCCCCCCCCCGCCAAGGCCTAGGCCACTCACCGAGCCCCATTTCTGTCCTCTGCACATGCCCCTTGGTGGTGTGACTGGAATGACTGTCATCAGAGGCAAAAGCCCAGGGGAGTGAGATGTGGTGTGGGGATGGGGCTTTTCTCTGCGGGGGCCACCTGGTTCTGGGCTGGCATTGTGGGTGGGGAGGGGGGTGGCTAGAGGGCATCCGCGTGGAGATGCTTGGTGAAGGATGGCTTTCGGCTCAGAGTGAGATTTATTCTTCTCCACTCAGTAGAGTGGGGCAGATTTGCTTCCAAAAGGGGCCCTGCCCTCCTTCCCCACCTGTCCCTCTCTGCTCTGGCCACCCTGACATCCTTTCTTTTTTTTTTTTTTTTTCCCATTTTTTTTTTTTTTTTTAATTTATTTTTGGGACAGAGAGAGACAGAGCATGAACGGGGGAGGGGCAGAGAGAGAGGGAGACACAGAATCGGAAACAGGCTGCAGGCTCCGAGCCATCAGCCCAGAGCCTTGACGCGGGGCTCGAACTCCTGGACCGCGAGATCGTGACCTGGCTGAAGTCGGACGCTGAACCGACTGCGCCACCCAGGCGCCCCCTGACATCCTTTCTTGTCCAATACCCCGAACTCCTTGCTGCCCCAGGGTCTTTGCACTTACTGTGCCCTCCACTGGACGGCCTTGCCCCCCTGACTCGTCATGGCAGGGGCCATATCCCTCTCAGGCCTGCGTGCAAACATTGTGGCCTCAGAGAATCTCCTTGCTCACCTTATGCAGAGCGGACTCCCCTTCCTCAACCCCTAGTTCCATCCCTCTGTTTACTTCCTCCTTTAAAACACTTAACCAGCCGTGATCTTGTAAGTTGCTGTCCCCTTCCTCTTCTGTCTTTGCCGCTGACGGTTAAGCTCCAGAAGCGCAGGGAGGTTTCAAGTTCCGTCTCTTCCGTGCCCCTGAGTGCCCGGACACAGTAGTAGGTGCTCAATAAATGTTTATTGGTGGTGGTGGGGTTGAAGCGTGGGAACAGCGCCTGGGTAAACGGTACGTAGAGGAGAATTCCATGGGTGGGGGCTGTTGCCAATGTTGCTCCGGGAGCGGCGGGGGCCGGGTTCCCTGGGTGGGGAGAAACCGAGAGGCGACCCACTTTCCCGGAGTCGCGCGCACCTCTCCTTGGTGACCCACAGGTGGCGCTCGCTCCCTGCGCTGCGGCGGCGGGAAGCAGAGGTGGGAAAATCCAAGCGGTGGGGGGGGGGGGGAGGCACCCCCGGATTTAGCCCGCTCCCCTGTCCGCCTCCTGGTGCCAGGCCCTGACCCCGAATTTGGACGCCAAGCCGTGGGACGCAGCACGGGTCCCAGCTCCTGGGGCCTGAGACGCACAGGGATGGTGTGCTGGGGGCGGGGCGGGAGTGAGGGCTCCCCCCTCCCGGCATTCTCCCGCTCCCCACAAAACTAGTTAAGCAGCCCCACGCTTGGCAGAAGGTGGAGGGCAGAGGGCGCTTACGACGTGTCCCTCTCGCCTTAATCCTGTATAGGCCGGAGCTGGGCAGGGGGCTGGGTCCTCAGCGGGGGCCCATGAAGCACCCTCGTGCGGAATAGTGAGTGGGCGGACCCCCGCTTTACAGATGGGGGAAACTGAGGCTCAGGGAGGCTACATGGCTGGCCCAGGATCACAGAGCCAGAACCCGGTGAGGCAGGGGGTGGAGTCCCCAGGTTTGTCCGACTCGCGGGTCCGCTGGTGTAAAAAAAACGTTTAAACGTGGATGTTTTAGTTACCCAAGGGCTGCAGGAATCCCTTGGGAAAGCTAACGCCTTCCCTGAGCCTCCTCACCTCAGCCCCCAGGCGGCAGGCAGGGTCCCCTTGCAGCCTGCTTTCCCTGCCTTCACACACATGTGACATACCCTGCCGCCCGTGTCTGGATTTCTAGCTGGGTCACTGGGCATGCGCTTCCCCCCTCTGGGCCTCAGTTTCCTCATCTGTAAAATGTGCCTAATTGTCATTGAACCGTCTCGGGGCCGGGGGGGGGGGGGGTGGTGGGTGGCTGGGCGGACTGCATGAGTTATTCTCATAAGAAGCCGTTGGAGCAGAACCTGGCGTGGGGCAGCGCCCCCCTGGCGGTCTACACATCCTTGTGGGGAACGTCCCAGGCTCGCACGTTCCCGCTGGTTCCCTGGTACGAGGGCCTGGCGCACAGTGCGTCGGTGTGGTCTGAGGCCGCCTGCGGATCCCTGTGCGTGTCTGCATTGGGCGGCCGTGCGAGCCCTCAGCTCCTTCCGCGTGGGGCTCGGCGAGGCGGGCGGCCCACGGGGTTCCTGCGGGCCAGGGTTTCTCAGCCGCAGCCCTTGACGTTGCAGGCCGATCCGTCTCCGCGGGGTGGCAGGGGGGGGGGCTGTTCTGGGCCCTGCAGGGTTTTTAGCGGCCTCCCTGGCCTTGACTCCCGAGGTGCCAGCGGCCTCCCCCGACCTCAACTGCGACAACTAGACATGTCTGCACAACTCGTCAAACGTCTAGCGCTGGGAACCTTCTGGCCAGCGTGCACGTGCACGCCGTGAGGCGGCTACAGTGTCGGTCTTGAACTTCCCAGCCTCCAGAACTGGGAGAGGTCCGTGTTTGTCGTCCCCAGGCCCACCCAGTCTGTGGCTGCGGCGGCCCCGAGCGGACTAAAGCGGGAGGCTCTGGCAGGGAACTTGGGGAGGGGGAGAAGGAAGGAGACTGAGGGCCTCTGGGAGACCATGTGGACCACGTGGGCCGTGCACCTGCCGGAAGAAGGAGTAGGGATATTTTTCCACCAGGTTCCTTCTGTCGTGGGCCGAGGGCTGCTCGGACGGGGGTGGGGGGGCACCCACGCCCGCGCTTGTGGCTTCTGGCCGTGTGCACTGCGGGGGGGGGGGGGGGG